CGAATCTGAGAAGGAGGAAAAGCCAAAAATTCAACACCTCTAAAAAAGTTCTTGCAACTTGGGCCATTAGCAACATCATTTTTTTAATTTCTGTTATTTTTTTTAATGTCAGGAGAGAATGAAAAAAATACTTTTCATGATGTTTTTTGTAGTCTAAACAACGCTCTTTTCAATCATATTGGAAGCCAAATTTGCTTCTAGTCGTAATATAAACATGTTGCTTTCTCTGAAACAGACTGAATAATCTAGTTGTTTTTTTACTACTTGGCCGTTTTGTAGCGGTAAAAAAATATTTTTTGAATTATGTTTTCAGTTAAATTTCTATGATCTGACATATTTTGAACGAATAATGCAAAAGAAATCGACTTCATATATCGTTTCTGGAGATGGTGGCTGATATTCTTTCACAATGATAGTTCTTGAAAAAACACTCGTTTTTAGAAAAATTTCAGTTTTCAAATCTTTTCGATTAAATAGCCAAGAATGCATTTAAAAATTTTAAACAATATTGATACCGAAACAGTTTTTGATGCTCTACATTTTGGTGTATATTTTGTGAAATTTTAGCTCATGTAGTCTAAAATAATCGAGAAACACAAATTTTTCAAGTTGCAAAAAAGTTGCAAGAACTTTTTTAGAGGTGTTGGATTTTTGACTTTTCCTCTTTCTCAGATTCGTTCTAGAAAAATATGACTGATACAAAATTTGTAGTTCAGACATTACTCTTTTCAATAAAACAAAAAATTACTTTCCAAGATGGTCCTAAGCGGAGAACTATGACTGGAGATTTCGGCAATTACTTTTGCATCGTGGGTTAGAACAAGATAATTTAGTTTCTTTTCTTTTCTTGTCTTCATTTGGTTATCGCGATAGAGTTCTGCAGTATCTCATGACAGAAACAAAACAAAATGAGCTCGCTTGATTTTCTACATCTTCATCATTTAGGTATTCCAATAGTCTTTGACTATTTTATGAGTGAAATCGAAAGAGTTACTTTAGTGAATTTTTCTTTTTTCTTCATTTAGTTATCATGATAATTATCGCGAATTTTATGAAGGAAATCGAATGATTTGGTTTAGTTTCCTTTTTCTCAATTAGTTATTTCGATAGTTTTCCAGCATCTCATTAGACAAGTCGAGAAAGTTAGTTTAGTCTACTTTTTTTTTCTTTATTCAGTTATTCGAACAGTTCTCGCATATTTTGTCAGAGAAATGACATGAAGAAGAATTAATTTCATTTTCATTTTCTTCATTTAGTTATTTCAATAAGCGTCCATCATCCTGTGAGAAAAATCGAATAGTTTAATTTCATTTTCTCTTGCGTCATTTAGTTATTCGCATAGTTGCTGCGTATTTTATCAAACAGACCGAATGAATTAGTTTCCTTTCCTTTTGGTATATGAATTTTACCCATACTTTTTTCAACATCTTATAAGAAAAACGAATAAAATTAGTTTCTTTTTCTTTTTCTTCATTAACTTATTCTAGTAGTAGTATCCTACGTGAACGACTTTTTCCTTTATTTTCCTGTTTCTTTTTCCGTCAAAATGAGGAATGAGAACGATAATAAAAATAAGCGTTTCCGAAAACCTTTCTTCTTTATATAAAGACTCTCCAGGCTTTGCTCTTGCAAACAATAAATGTCGAAATCAATCGGAAATAACTCTGTTCAGAAATAGATTTTGGAATTCTTTCGAAGACTTTTGCATTGCTTCTTAGTTAAAAGAAGAATAACAAATACCTATTAACAAAAACTAGGCAAGTTCATTGCTTATTCATTAGATTGTAATTCAATTATCACAAATGTTATTTTCTTTGTGATTATCATCTATTAAAGAACTATTATTAAAATTATCTCATAATATAGTATTGTTATTATTATTTTTTTGTCTTGAATGTTTTCGTTTTTCATCGTTGTTGTTGATGTGCTAGTCTTGTTTTTTTTCTTTTCAGTTGCTCAGCTGATGGAGAAAGTGACTAACCTAGCTTAACATTGATCAATCTCGAAAAATAACTAATAATTGATTTTTTTTACTAAAGTTTATTTCCGTTAATAATTTTGCTTTTAATTTAAGGTGATATCACGTTGCGTAAAGTATGATGTTGACAGAAACTAGTGTCTGATATGATATAGCTCTTCTCAAACACAAAGAAAGGACACTGTGATAAGAATCCTGAAATTATATCGGGAATGGGAGCAAACATGCTTTTACGGAAATGAAAATTGAGTAAAACCGTTATCATAGGACACTATCTGCTAATTTTTGCACATTCTATAAGAGAAACGTAATCAGAAAATTAAGTTTGCTTTTCTGGTATTAGTTTGGTTATGCTATTGTTGCCGTGCATTTTACGGAAGTACTAGAATTAGAAAATCAATTTTACTTTTATTTTCTTCATTTAGTTATTCCGATAGTTGTCGAGCATGTTATTGCAAGAAATGAAATAAGTTAGTTTTGATTTCTGCTGTTTTCCTCAATTCATTTCGGCGATAATTCTGCTGTGTTTTCTGAGAAATATCGAATAACGTAGTTTAGTGCACTCTTTTTCTCGATTTAGTTCTGTTAGTAATGGTAGTGCATCTGATAAGAAAAATAGAATAAGTTAGCTTACGTTTTTTTTCTGATTATAATTTCTTTTCCTGATCATTATTAAGCATTGTAAGGAGGGAAATAGAATAAAAGATTCCATCTTACTTTTTTTGTTTTTTTGTTTACTGTTCAGGACAGTTTTCACAATCTTCTAGAAAAAATTGAATAACTTTTTTTTCTGTAATCTTTTTTGCTTGATTCACTTCTGCTGCTAGCTACCGAGTGTCTAGCCAGAGAAATAGAAGAATATAATTTATTTTTTAATTATTTTTTCGTGATTTAGCTGTTATGATAGCTTTCTGTCTCCATTGGAGGCAGTAGAATGAAATGGTTGAGTATAGTTGCGTTTTGCACTGCAGTCTTTTATGTTCCTACACTTGAATATTGATTGAGTGTTGTCGTATTTTCAACTGTTTTAATACTTTACTGTTCGAATATAAAAATTTGTCGTAAATGTTGAGAAGTTCATAAAATAGAGGCTTCCATCTACCGCGTTGGAACTCTTCTTTCGGTTAATGATCATCTTGAATGATTCTTTATATCACGTTATATACCCTTTTATCCATCCTTGGTGTGATTGATAATCCTCACAAACCATTCTGGATACCATTTTAGGAACACTGCGCACGGTCTATGACGATTATAAACCCTTTTGGATACTGTTTAATAAATCCTTGGTGCCATCGATGATCCTTGTCAATTCTTCTATCAACCTTTTCATAAGATTTTGGTACGGTTGATTATTCTGATGAACACTTCCATGGAGCCACTAATCAACCTTGAATGCAGTTCATGATTCTCATCAGTTATTCTATATACCCTTCTGATAGCCGGTTTTTCGATTATTAGAAAACGTTTAAGAAGTTCATTTGAGCACAGGGAGGATTAATGAAAGGATTTACGAAGATTTCATAAATGGTAAACAAGGATTTTTTTATACGTTGTTCTTTCATAAACACTTTAAGGATTTATTATTCTGCAGTTGTTTTACGGTGTAATATGTGTAGGGAATATAGACAGTTGGAGATATAGATATTGCATAGTCAACCAGACAGATAGCTAGTGAGATAGGTAAATAGATGCATAGATAGTTAGCTATATTAATAGGTATATTTGTTGCCCGTTTGGTCCAGCTGAACCGGTTGAAAAATATTTTGTAGACATGTCATTATTCTTCTGGTAAAAATTGTTGAGAGCAATTTTGGATGCTCTTGACGTAATAATCAATGCGTTCTTTTAAAAACTATCACTTTTATTTATTTTTGTCCACAATGTTTCATCTCTGTAATCAAAGTATGTTTCATATTTTAAAAGGCAAATCAAAATTGTATTACTTGATCTAAACTTATCTCGTATATGTTTTGTTAAAGCTCGAATTCAGGTTTGGATCGTTGTTCGAAGAGAAGCACTAGGTTTGAGTGTAAACATTGAGTAAGAAAATTTAAGATTTAGAGCTTGGCAATCAGTTGATGGGTAAATGACGTTTTTCTTCGCGCTATGTATAGATATGTCAATCTGCATATTTGAGAAATCAAACAGATATAAACGACTATAACATGATATTTCTTTCTGTAGATTTTTAGAAACCTGAGTGTAAAAAGGACAGCCAATATTTTTTGAAGCCATTCGAATTAACCAATCAATAATGACCCAACAAACCGGCCAATTTCTGCGTTTTCATCGGTATAAAAAATGTTCGAAGCGACTGAACCGAACCAGTACAAAAATTCTTGACTGATTACAACATTGTTGAGGATTCAGTCTGTGATAAACCACATATTTAGGTCTTGACCAAGCCTTTGAGAAATTTGCTTCGATTCGATTGCGAAAAGAAAACTTCTGGTCTGTTCACTTAGGCGTAGGGTTGAATAGGTTGAATTGTTTTTTTTTTTTGATTAACTGATTTGAACCGTGAAGAACTCTAATATAGATGTAATAGTTCGATTCCTTCTTCTATCAAAGACGACTGCAGACGAAGAACGTGGATGTTGTGTCCATGTGAATCAACTCTATCGTGTTTCTGCATCGTGACCTCATGCGGTTCCATTCAAAGCTTTTCTTGTTTTCTTTTTTGTTCTCTTGTTATTTCTCATATTTTTCTTGTAACTCTGATTTCGCTCATTCGATTATATTGTCACTAGAATCATATCATTATTAATGTTTATATAAAACTGTAGGTAGACTTATTGTGTTAAATATTGACAAAATATGCTCTCCCTTTTCACGCTATCAGTATTAGCCACTTGAATAGTTGTGCACTAAGTATTTTCTGCGACGTTTTGTGTGTTAGATGCAATCATCTATATCTTATAGGCACGATATTGTTTGTATTATACTTTTCAATATATTTTCATTTCCTTTTATCATAATTATTATTTTTTATTCAGTTGCTCTGATATTAAGATATAAAATGGATCCTAAATTACTAACGCTTATTTTGCCCAAACCAATGCCATCTTATCAAAGACGGAATGATCATGTTTTCTTCGGCAAAGATTTTGTTTCGAATGTTAATTCAGTAGGCTTCGAAGATTTAGGCGATGGCTATGGTTTGTCTTTCAGTTTGATCTTAAAAAACTTTGATAACTTCAATTTCATTCTTTTCAGGTAAAGACTACAATAATATCTACTTTATGGGTAAGATAGTGGAGAAAGGTCAACCATACGGCTTCAAAGTACTTCGTGACGGCTATGCTATGGACCACGATCATGTCTACTTTTTGGGCACGCTAGTGAAGGGTGGTCGACCATATGGTTTTGAAGTACTCCGTGATGGATACGCCAAAGATTATAGCAATGTCTACCAATATGGACTGCTCATAAAGAATGTTTTACCTTTCGTTTTCCAGCCACAATAGTATAAAACTGACAAATCAATAGTATGACCCATTTGCTGGATGCTAAGCACATGAACTAAATAACTATGATACAAAACTTATATGTCTACTGTGAAGAAATTTTCAGTTTCTCTCTTAATTTAATTTCTAGTTACTCACTCCTATGCCTATTATTTAGTTTTAGTACTAAGTGTTACACGATCAACAATGGTTTCCCAACCATAGACAGCTTTATTTCAGTGCACTCTCTCTCTCTCTCTATATATATATATGAATAAAACTTCGCCTCTTTAGATATCGTCTCAATAACAAATTGATGTCAATCGCGTTAGTATTTCTCAAAATGAGAACGATCACCAGCTGTGAACTTAGAATATTATCACACTTTCAAATATAATGTATACCGAGCTAACCCAAACAAAAATCAATGACGGCGATAAACCTAGGCTAATTTTTTAGTTATTCAATTTAAACCGAAAAATTAATGTTTAAAGTGATCTTTTGAGAGAGAAGCATAGAACTTAAAATATTTTATGCTTTCGAATATCCTTGTTGTACTGTCGTAGGAATATGGTGATCTGAGTTCTTTATCATACCGCTAAATACATTTCGTCATTTTAAATCATTTTAGAGGGATGCGCAGCTTTTTTACAGTTTTATATCAATATTGTGTTAACGTCAAGCATAAAAATGATAAACAACTGCTATGTTAAAACATATTCAAGTTCTAGACTAAAAAGTGTTTAAATTATTCGATATCATTGAATATTATAGCAGCGGATTCCAAGAAATGTTGGGAGCAGCAATTTTACTTCGTTCAAAAACGTTTTACCATGTTTTTCGACATAAACGAGCTCATACTATCTCGGATAAATATCTAAAAACTTTGTCTTAGTTATAATGTCTCTTTCGTACCAACATCTAGATTCTGATACTAAGACAGTGATTTTGTGCCACCATAAATGTTGATTTATTGTCTTACCAAAGTACTTACATGGCGTATTAGCTATAGTATAAAGTATTTGAAAGACATTAAGAGTTTCCGAAACTTGGTATACCTAATTATTTTCAACTTGTAAAAACTCTTAGAGAATTCCCGAGATGGTGTTGAAAGCCTTTCAGGAGTAAACATATTCAGAAACTCTTCTTCTGAGTTTTCTATAATACAGATCCTTTTTTGACTGTGTGGGTACGGATGCATGCATGTCCGTGGACCTTCTTTTCGTTCATGCCTGTCTCTACACTCTAAAGAAGAATTGTCTCAACATTTCTGACCTAGTTCTAGTAAATTTGTTCTATTACATGTGGCTTTCTCTACATTTGAGATAAGTTTTGATGTTCAGTATCCTAGTAAATCAATATTTATGAAGTCTACTTATTCGGTCATATTTCATTCCCCACATCTCTTCTTTTATTTAAATTTCTTTCTCATCCATTCAGTTGATTTTGTTTCAAGGCATTTTCTATTGCTTATTACGCGCATGTTGTGCACTTGAGAATAAAATTCTTTCAAGTGTGGAGAAAAAGATTGCATTTATATTTCTTAGCGACAGCAAGGCCTCTCAATGCAATGCAATGCAATTTATTCACTTTTTTGTCTTTTGGTGAAGTGTCATAAAAGCAATCTCGCCATCATTTCATTATATTTTTTCTACTCTTGCTTTCTACCACTCACATTTGTTGTCGTTGAAGCTAGTAAAAAAAAATATTAGAAAGATGGGCAACTGCGGTGGATTTCTTCCAAGGGGACATGGATCTCACCCAAATCATCCACACGGGGGTCCCCCTGGTCAACAACGTAAACATTCTCATGACAGCGGACGACGTGGTAGCGATGACAGTCATGGGAGAGGTGGTGGGCAAGGACATGGATACGGACACGGAAACAAAAGACATTGATAAAAAAAACTATTCTTTTTTCCGAAATGAACATTATCATTGGAATTTTCTATTGAATAAACATAATTTGAAGACAATTTCCCGGTTTTAGAATTTCCTCTAAATAACTCAACTAAAAAATCTTTAAAATTCAATGGTAAATCTATCCCAATGAATGGACAAACGAGTTTCATGAAGTTAATATTTCTGAATGCTTTTCTCTAGGTGATATAAAAAACACAATGAACGAAAGGATCTGAAATAGTCATCATTTCCTCACGCAAAGTATATATTTCTGTTAATATAAAATGTTTTCCTCAGCAACAAGATAATCAAAACATAGAAGCTCCTGTGCAAGGAGGTTACGGCCATAGGTAGACACGTAGATGAGAGTCTGTTCTTTATTCACACACAGCCATGGTCATCCACATTCTTGCATATACCACAACCTGCACAAAAAATAAATTGTAGAATCTATACTGAATGGTGTAATTCTCATCTGTATCTCTTTTTTTCTCTTAATTAAACTTTTGTTCATTCTCATCACGTAATTATTTAGTTCGGAATTCGAAAAAAAGATTAATTTTCTCAGCAACCAAGCGATGCAGAAAGAAAAAGATGCATACTATTATGACTAATAGTACAATAAATGAAATGATATAATATATTTCACCTGATCACTTGTACAAAAACACTAGGTAGATTTACAAAACAAAAGATGACCTATAAGCATGCGAATGATACCAACTTATGTCGCCAGTATTAACAGAGTTTTTAGATTAAGCTGAATTAAATAAAGAAATTTAACTAAATTTTAAACACCGACTTTGAAAAAATAGAAAAGAATTATTTTTGCAAAAGCAACTTTCGCACAATTTTTGAATTCTTTCGATCAGAAAAAAACTATTTACAAAAATTAAAAACCATTTCTCCTAATCAAGAGCTCAGACTCTATCAAATTACGTAGAAAAATCGAGAAAAGAAAAATCCAATGTAGATTCTTTGTTATGAACACCTTGCAAAGTTTGTTATTGCTCGTTCCTGTCATAGATTTCTGTCTTCTTTTTTTCTTCTTGCATGACTTTTTGAAAGATGTGAATATTAAATTAACAACATTTCAAGCGGAAAATTGAAAAACATTATTTTTCCATATTACTAATGTTAAGCAAGATCATCGTAAATTCTTCAGAAATGATTATTTCTTTTGCTTTTAATCAATTATATGCTGGTTAAAATTAAATTATAAAATTTATAAGTCAGTTGTTAATTAATATTTATTTAGTTATTTATTTAATATCAGAAAACGTTTTGGAGAACTGATGTTTCCTTCGTTAGTTTATTTACTTGTACATGAAGATAGAATTTTATATATTTTACTATTCACAAGTCTGCTTATTCTTCTTTTTATTTTTTCTTATCGTGGGACGGAAGATGAAAACATGTAGGTTTAATCGTCCAGTATTATCGTCTTATCATTCTGCTCCACTATTAGAAAAAAAGAAAAATAAGAATAAATAGACTTGCAAACAGTAAAAACTATAAAATTTTGTCTTCATGTATAAATAAATCAACTAATGAAAAAGATATCAGTTCTCCGAAGCGATTTTGTCAAATTATATTAATAAATATTATTGAACAACTAGTTCTTCAAACTTTATCATGTAGTTTTAACCAACATATAATTGATAAACAATAAAAGCAATGATTATTTATAAACAATTTATAAATAAAAAAAAGTCGCTCGAACCGTTATTGACGAAGTGCACAGCTGTGTACGTTATGTTTGAACAATCAGATGAGAGTGCTTTTGTGGGTGTTAGTTTAGAGAAAAGCTGTTATCACACTTCACTCTCAAATAACAGCTCGAAATGAGGAATCATGCACTCTGACGTAGAGTTATCGACCACTAGAAGAACCTTCTCTGTTAATAGGAGATCACACATAATCTTCGTATTCAAATTATTCATCGAACTGAATAAGAGTCCCCGTAGCTTGTAATTCACTTTTCACAGTGATCGCTTTGGATAGCATTGAATTAGATGGATCATTGAGTCATAGGATAGATAAGAAGTTATAACCATCGTGTTAATTTTGTACCATGTTTCTAGTAGATTCCAGCCAAAACCACAATAGTGTTTTTCTATTTTAGTTACTCATGCTTTGATATTAAATATTCATATTACTTACTGGTTATTTTACGTTTGTCTTTATTTCGTTTGCTTATTTCATATTTTTTTCTGGTGATCATTATTAATTAGTTAATAGTGAGTTAGAAAGAGTTTCTTTTGATAGGCATAACTAATTTTTGTCATGTCACTGCCGGTACATCACTAAGTCAGCCAATGCAAACAGAAACGAACAATACGAAATCTTTGTGAGTGTGTCTGCACATATGTACATCCACTTCAATCTAATCAGTGAACTTACACACGATAAAACGGCATACAAACAGCTGAGGGTGGGGTGTGGGTGCGAGATGCAGATGTAGGTGTCACTATGCGTACAGTTAGTCTGATTCAAGCGAAAAGTGTATCCATACTCACATCCATCCGTCCGCATTGCGTCGTTTTAAAGAGTCCATGGCTTTTTTAAAACTTCGAACGAGTGTCTATGAACATTGAAAATATATCGTTTTCGAGAACAAATTTTGTTCTGTCTTTTGGTATTTCATATGAGTATACACCGCAACTGCATGCAAAGAAAACCAAGCTAAGAAAAAGACATGTCAAATGTGTTTTGCATGTAAAACTCTTTATTATAGTGTCCCTAACTTGCAAATTTCAAAATACGAGTTTTCATTTCTGGTAATAAAAAAGGAGAATCAACAATTTTAAAAATAGAGTTCTGTGTAAAAATGCACTTTGCTTCATTACTTCTGAATCTGGTAGTTAAGAACTAGAAATCACGCTGATTTTCTTGTTGGTTAATAGAAACCATCATTTTGTTAGCATGATGCTATTGGATACAAAATGATAAAAATCCATGATGTTTGAAATACCTCATTTACGCAAAACATATTCACGTATATATATATATTATAAAGAATGCAATACTAGAAATAATATTATTCGACGAATAATTGTGTTTCCAATTGACTAAAAATACTCATAATAGTACAATAGTCTGGCTTCGAGAGCTGAAATTAATTATTCATCAGTATTTGTGATACCTCGAGTATTTTCTTTGCCTACACCTATGAAATAATTAATCGTTATGTTTTCATTTAGTTGCAACTTGGCTGTTTACGCTACTATACGCTGCGTACGGTGCTTCTATCGGAGTTCAATATTCAGAAGCAGACTATATAGAAGTGCTAAATACGACAGAAATTACATTCATAGGCGGCGGACCCATTAGGCTTGGGGAGGCTCAAGCCTCCCCTAAAAAACGGAGAAGAAGGCTTAGGGAGGCTCATTTAATTTGAAAAAAAGTTGTAGATCTCATCTTTAATGTAGACACGATTGGCAAAATTTCGATCGATTGTTCTTTAATACTTAGTCTATTGCGCATGAAGATTAACAAAATGATAAAAAAAACTGCTAAAAAAAGGCAAATACGACGCAGAATCTTGATTGGTGACAAGTATCACATGAATTTTTAAAATGTATGTTAGGGTGATCATAAGATGGCGCTCATATACATTCCTCATTTTTGAAATAATATTTGGTCTATTTCTATTGGCGGATCGTTTATAAAGAGGAATAGTCAAGGTATCCACCAAATTCATGGTGACGACGTCTACTTTGGCGATCATTTAAATTTTTAACTATCTCGTCTCTTTGATTGTATTAACGATTTTGAAATTTGAAAAGAATAATAATATTTTGTAACACCAATTGTGAATGTCGAGTAAACAATATCAAATTACGTCTTTTTTTCAAAATAAAAAGCAAAAAACAGATGCAATTACTGATAATCATGCAGATAGTTTGAATATTCCATCTATTGATTTAGTTGATCATGCGGAAAGTGTAAACTTATCTAAAGAATTTTTGTCAACAGAACCAACAGAAGCTTCATCTGCCATCACAACTGAAAATAAAACAAAACTAAAATGTAATCTTCTTTATTGCATGTCTGACACTCGTTATATTCCTGAAAAACAATCACATCTTAAATCGACAAGTGACAAACGTAGTTGCCAGTTAGGCTGGTTCACTAAATATAACTGGCTTTCCTACTGTAAGGTAATAAAATAAAAGAACATCTCCTGATTTTAAGCCCTAAACTCCTACTCAAAGACCTGTTCATTATCATTTTTTTTTGCTTTTAGAGTAGTGAAAAAGTTTATTGTTTTTATTGTCGTACAGCATATCAAAGTAAATATCATCCACAAGCTAATAAAACGGCTGATTGTTCATTCACAGTCCGTGGTTTTGATTATTGGAAAAATGGTTTAGCCAAATTTGAAAAACATGAAAGCAGTCAATGCCATGCTGATTGTATATATTTGGTGAAACAACAACAGCAACAACCAGTAGCAGCACAAATTAGTCTAACCCATAAAAGTCAACAGGTTCAACGACGAAAAATGCTTTTAATTCAAGTACAAGCTATTAAGTTTTTATTACGTCAAGGTTTAGCTTTACGTGGTCATGCCGAAATAGAAGGAAATTTAATTCAATTGTTAAAACTACGACAAAGTGATACTAATGAATTATCAACATGGATTAAGTGAAGGAAATTATTTATCTCACAACATAATCAATGAAATATGTGAAATTATATCGTTAACTATTGTTCGAGAATTAGTGAAAGAAGTAAGAACAACTGTTGATTTTTCTCTATTATATTGAAATAAAACATAAAATAGCTAATTACCACTGGGATGGACATTTAGAATTAGCATCGATATGTTTCCCTAATGAGTTGCAAGAACAAGAAGAAAAAATGATAGATTCCTTATTAACCGATGTTTATTAGTAAAACTGTTCTCTGTAAAGAATACTGTTTATTCTTGAAAACAAATCTATTGAATCAGTTGCTATTTATCAGTCTGTCGTTTAGATCAAATCTCGTAGATTTTATAGTATAATATGTGATGAAACAACTGATTCAACTGGTAGTGAACAAATGTGTTTTACAATAAGATCAGTGGACGATCAGTTCATTGTTCATGAAGATGTTATTGGTCTGTATCAATTAAATTCTCAACATGCTGAACATATTACACAAGTGATATTGGATATATTAATTCGATGTGATTTAGACATCAAATTTTATAGAGGTCAAGGTTATGATGGTGCTGCAACAATGTCGGGCCATCTATCCGGTGTATCTGCTCGAATTAAAAATTTGAATCCAAAAGCTTATTTCGTACATTGTAATGCACACTCATTAGATCTTGCATTACAAGATTTAACTTGTGAATCACCATCTGTAGCATCTGCTTTAAATATAACGAAAGATATTGTAAATTTTATGAAAAGATCTCCAAACGATTACATTTTTTAGATTCAGCAACAGAACTGAAGAAGTATTCAAAATTGAAGTCATTATGTCCTACTCGATGGACAGTGCGAGCTGCATCTATGAATTCATTGATTATTAATTATGATTTAGTTGAAACATCTTTAAATGAAATTATTTCTGAAGGTGGTCCACCTTCTATCATGGCAAATGGATATTTGGAGCAACTATACAAATTCTCTACATATTTTGGATTGAAATTAGGTAATATAGTTTTCTTTATTCTTCATAGTCAAACAGAGAAGATTGGCAACAATTTTGATGGTCATATTACTTTTTTCCTCTGAAACACAATGTAAATAAAACAAATTAAATAGTGAATTGAACTATTCTCATAAGAATCCTAGAGTAATTCTGTTGTTCTCTCCTCAAAACTGCTAGTTCTAAAAAATCTAACTTTGCTGTAAGAAATAAGTTTTTGTAGAAAGAAAAGAACAAAACACTGAATGTACAGCTTGAATACGTAAACATGCATTCTTCTTTTTTTCTCTAGGTCATTTGATATTTTCTCCTACTGAAGAAATTTCATGCTCATTACAACGTATTGAAAATTGTTTACAAGATGTTTTATGTGCAATTAAAACACTAATAGGTTATTTACAAAGAATTAAATGTATTGAATATTTCAAAACGTTCTATGAATTAATGCTAAAAGAAGCTGAATTATTAACTGAAGAAGCTGAATTACCACGTGTTAGAAAACCACCTCAACGATTTGCTGATACATTACGAGCACCAGTAGTGTATCAAAACGTTTTTGATATGTATCAGGAACAATACTTCAATGTCATTGATAAAGTTTTAATTGGATTAAATTTACGTTTTCAACAGTCGGTGTTTCCTTTATTATGTAAAGTAGAAAAATTTATTCTTGCGGCGGCAAATGGTACACAAGAAGAAGCTAATAATTTAAATATTCACAATATTGCTGAATTTTTAACTGATGATATTGATATTCCGCGTTTACAACGTGAAATAAATATGATACCCGATTATTTTTCAGTTATTAATTTAGAAAATAATTTTAGTATTAAGAAAATTACCAAAATTCAAACTATTTGTGATCTTCTCAATGTACAATCTGTTGGTAAATCTATGTTCTGCGAATACACAACACTAATACGTCTGTATTTAACCGTTCCTGTAACAACAGCGACAGCTGAACATTCATTCAGTACTATGAATCGAGTAAAAACATATCTTCGATCAAGTATGACACAGCAGCGTTTAAATCATATAATTATACCTAATATTCATAAAGCAAGATTAGATGAACTAGACTTAAATAGTATCTGCTCTACATTTATTTCAAGAAATCAGAGTAGAAAATGTTTTTTTTGGTTGTATTTAGTGTTGTTTTTTATCTTTGTTTTTGTTTGCTCTACTCTCCTGAAATTTGCTTTAGGATTTTTGTGTTCTTATTGATCATTTTCGGAAAAATAAATATTACAGTAATATTTTTCATTATTTTACAAGTTTTGAGAAAAGTAGAATCAGAAGTAAATTATCAACAGACCACCTATTAGTACCAGATTTTTTTTGTTTTTAATTTTACCTCTCATCATCCGCATCCTCTGAAAAAATTTTGAGCCTCCCCTAGATTGAAATCGTTCCGCCGCCGTTGATTACATTAAATTATTTCATGAGAGAACTTTCACAATCAAGAACTTCAGATGATTCAACCGGCATCAAAATTTACATCGGTTCAGATGTCGCTAGCGGAATTGACTTTTTCATTCTATTTTGCATCATTTGCTGCTGTTGTTGAACTTTTCTCAATGTCATTTTTGAATACCAAAAATAATAAAATTAATAATAAAGAGCGGTTCTGCAACGAAAAATCGAACATTTTTCATGTGGAACTATTTTAAAAATTGCTGACTCTCGTTTTTCATTATCAGAAACAAAAACTCGTGTTTAGAAATTTGCAAGTTAGGAACACTATGACGGAGAATTTTACATTCAATACAAAATTGACACGTTTTTCTCTTAGCTTGCTTTTCTTTGCATGCAATTGCGATGTATACTTATGTGAGATACCAAAAGACAGAACAAAATTTGTTCTCGAAAACGATATATTTTGAATACTCATATACACTCGTTCTGAGTAAAAAAAGCCACGAACTCTTTAAGGCAAAGCAATATTCTCCAACAATGATTGGCTGATTTTTTTTTATGCGTTTTGGGATTTTTGCATGTGATAATATTTTGTATGTATATGGGTGTGAATACTTTTTTGCCTCCGATTACACTCTAACCGTATGCACATCTCGCATCCACACCTACACCCTCAAGGTGATCTACGAAACTAGGTGACAGGTTTTTTCATGGATTTTCGCAAGTTTTTGTCCGTTTTGAGCACCAGATATCGTTTGCGGAGGCAGAATGGTTTCAGTAGTCGATAACCTAGGAAAATCTGCGTCCATTGGTGTATGTTTCAGCCCACGACAGATAAAACCATCTTCATAAAGAAGAATATTTGGATTTTTTCTTGAAATTTCCTGTGATAGTAGTATTCGCTCAAGGATTAGTCTCTGTAGTGGATGTGTCTGCAGATTCTGTATAGGCCAGGATTGGTGGCAAGCGCTGACAAACAGCAGCGTGGAGAGAAGCGAGAATTTCACGTGTTGTTGTCTCTGTCTTTGTGCGTCCTCTATGCTCGCTTCGATTGGTTCTGACAAAGCTACGAATAGAATTATTACCACAATCGTGGTGCGGATTGTATTGTGGTACCTTTATATCCACTAAACATATTCCGTTAAGTACAAAAATATTGAGAATGACTATTGGTGTTGAGCGAATATCTGAGTGCGAGAACAAAATCCACCCTCTCATCATATTAGCACTTATGTTTATTCTCACATAGCCTTCACATTCTATCAAGAGTGTGAATCTATCACAGCATACACTCCATCGACTATTTTAGTAAGTAACGACATTACTATATCGTTCCAGTAGTGATTTGTGAAGCATGACGGTAAACAGATGACAGAACGAAAAATAGACGCTTCCTTCTCTTTTTCTTTTCAATATAAGCATGTGTCTATCAAAAATAATATGGTCGACACTCTTGGCAATGACGAAAATGTTTTTATTTACCAATTTTAGATTTTCATGAAGCACTCAATTTGTCTTAATCCTTATATTACGTACTAGTGCTACAAAATAATATCGATTACCAGTAGTTTTATTAATCGTAGGCATAAGTATGATTGGTAGGAATAATATTAATTTCAGTCGTCTTCAAATAGAAAAGCTACAACTTCACAATGGAAAACATGGAAGCAGCGAATATCAAAAATTGATTTTCGTTTATCACATTACATTTCGTTAGAATAAACAACTATATGTAAAGTACTATTTTTAAACAAGAGCCTCAAAAGGTATGCAAATTAGACTACTGTGACAATGTGAGTTTTCTAACTTGACGCCGTACAGCAGCATCTGAAGGTCAAATCGAACCAATTAGACTCAATATATCTGTATCAAATCTGTCTGTGAGTCATATAAGAATGAGTTATGGAACTTTAGCGAAGACAAACAATGTATAATTGCAGGTAAAAATAATTATTGGTTTGTCTTTGCTATTGTAACATTGAGTATTTAAAAAAAGTATCAGTGCGGTAAACATTTCTGATGCAAGTCTAATGATACAGACTTTGGACCCGTGTCAAAATATAACCAAGAGCTGTTATACTAACGCAGCTGAATGGTGATAGACTTTAATATTTTAGATAGCTAGTTCACAAGAAAATATGTTGATCAAGGTCAGTAATATATTGACAAGACGAAATTCTGTTCGGTATGGAATCATATGTTGGATGCGCCATAGAATACTTTTCACTATGATCTTCACTTTAATATTTGCAATGATTGCAATGATTATGAGAAAGATCTTTTGGGAAATGTATCTATTATTTCCTCATCATCCAGCGGAAGCATGGATGGATCCACGAGAACAAGCGCTCATTATTAAATATCTTCAAATATTCAATCAAACGACGAAGTAAGTCAAAAGCATGATAGTCCTATATCTTTAAAAATAATTTTGTCTTTTCTCTATGAATTCATTTGAAATAATGAGTTTCATTTCAAAATATTGTATACAATACACTTTCGTTCGGATGTCTCTGAAAACAATCGAAGCTTACTTTTCATCATAGATAATCGATCTAGAACAAGCATATTCTCTTTTTATTTGCTATAGTACACGATCAGCAATTATGCTTGAATATGGTGCAGGAAGCAGCACATTTGTTTATAGTGTCTATGTTCATCGATATGTGAGCATCGAACACAATCTTGATTATTGTCGTATACTAGAACGAATGGCTACTAGTCAACCAAATCGTTCTATTACTATTTCTTACATGGAATCTAATTTGTCTGGATTCGTGGAAAGAAATCGGTTCGAGCAAAATCGACCGCAATCGAACAGCATTCCTTCCATTCAAATTTACTGTATTGTACCAACTTATTCAACGTTATTTCATCGATTTTGGGCGAGTCGCAAACGAAGCACTTATTCGATGTATCAAAACTATGTGGATTTCATTTCAACGTATCTTGACAATCAACTATTTGACTTTGTTCTTATCGATGGACGAGCACGACCTCAGGCAGCCTATGTCGTCTTAAAACATTTGAATGGGTTAGATGCCAAAGTGTTCGTACATGATTGGAATGAACGCAGCGCATATCATGTGATCAAAAACGAATTTTATGATATTATTGATCAGCAAATCGAAAGTGAGCAAATTGGTGGTGGAGGACTAGTCGTCTTGAAGAGAAAGCCTGGAATAACAGGAAAAGCAAAGATCGATGAAATACAATGGACGAATGGTGAAAGACCGAGCTGGTGGCTATAACATTAACGAATATGTTGTAATTCGTTTTCATAAAACTAAAAGATATTTGTGAGATGTTAATTCCACTTATACTTTATTGCTATAACTGTATCTCTTTAAAAAAAATCCTTATCTTCATAACAACGAAACGCTATATATATATATATCGGGTGATAACAAGGGTTGGGAAATTTTTATAAACGATCAACAAGGAAAAATCCATATATAGAACACAAAAGAAAGAACAATAGAATGAAATAGAAAATTCCAACATATACAGAAGAAAAGGAAAAGTTTATGGTACATGACTAGACAATAAGAGAAAAGAAGACGAACATAAGTTCATACGTATAATCCTATAGAAAAGAGGGAAAATCCCTATGATTGCATCTGAAGAAGACGCAGATCATAACAACATTGCGACATAATTGAATTATGTCAATTAGTTTAGTGATAAATGTGGGCATTTTTTAGCAGTTGTTACCAAAATTTGTCTAACAAAGTCTGCTCTTCTTTCTTTTATTCACTGCTGAATTCATTTATTTTCTGATGAAAATATTCAATCATCACTTCGTTATGCACTAATCCTGTCTCTTCTCTTTTCAGCATATCATAGCATTTTTGTAAGATGTCACTTTAGATTTATCATATGACATCTGATCTGCTTTTTTCTTTTCTCGTTTGAATCAGAATTGCTTTGTTATCAAAGAGTTACAATAAACGTATTCTACTAGTTAAAAATACTCTTTCAAAGATTCATTAATCAATATGCGATATAGAGAAAATACTTCTTCGATTTCATTTCTGTAAGATAACCCTGGAGAGAACCTTTTTTATAGGATCTTATGCTGCAGTACCATATCAACCCATCTGCTAAGGATGCGACGATTTTCTAGAAAGACGTAATAGCAGCTATTACTATACTATTGCTTCCTAGATTAAATATTTTGACGCATAATTTATCTTTTGCAGAAGATCAATTGGTTGACATTTCCTGCTAAGCATATTTTAGATCCATCAAAACTGAACTACATGAACAAGCATAGGTGTTTTATCAATGTTTGCTCTTCAATACTCACGAAAGACTACAAGATATATTCTTTACTCTGGCGCACATATAATGGAAACCCTGTCCAAACAGATGAATGATAGAAATAGATATTTAAGTGAAGTAGTTGTTTTTTTCTTGAATAACGTTTAACAAGAATAAACTAGAGAGCTGCAGTTTTCATCATTCGGTAGACAACAGAGGAAGTCATTGAAGCAAGTAGAGTTTAATAGATTCGCATATTGAGGATGTCATGCCAATTCTCAAGAAACAATATCAAATTGGAATTATAAAAGTATATTCCATTGAGTTTCGATTGATAATATCATTACCGACGAAGAAGTGTTATGTTATTATCTGAACAAGGCTGACATCTCAAACAAATCTCGTTCTAGAAATATAAAGATTTCAGAGAGACGCACGGTTGTGCTAGATGGATCTTTGGTCAGTCGAAAAAATTTCTAGAAAAGTCTCTAGCTTGTTTCTATCAAAAATGAAATCGGTCGTTAGTTTCTTGAAACTGAATCGAAAAAACTTCAAACCAAGTCGATCCGATCCTTGTCTTATATCGAAAGTTACTCTAAGAAAAATACAGTCATCTTTCTCATAATCTAGCATCTAAAGTCATTTTGTTGTTTTTCTATTTCATGTATATTTTCTTCTCATGATTTATAAGTGATTTTATTTGATGCTGTTCGATATGAGAATCGATACGTTTGTTATTTATCATAATTATTAACAAGATTTAAATTATGTTTAATAGTTTTGTCGTGTTCAGTTCTTTCTGCTGGTCTACAAACTCATTGATTCTGTCCGACTAATTTTCTATGAATTACGTTCTTTTATTGTTCATACCTTTCGTCTTATTTTTCTTGAATAACAATTTGCAATTTCAAATCCATAATAGAACATGGAGTTTTTTGAAGAAGGCAATATAACAAATTTCATGAAGATACTTCTAAAAGAAGCCAATGCATAGTTATTCTATTCTTTTTTACAGTACAATATATGACTGATCCAATTTTACACAGTTTAATATGCAAATAAATATTGATAAGAGATGGTTTGCTGACTGCTGAATGTATAAGTTTTTTTCATTTTAAAGCTTTTGAACAAAGTAAAAGGAGTAACTACAGTACATCGGCACCCAGACTTGTTGAGAGGTGCGGATGTGCTCAAGAGTACTGTCAAAATGCTGGTAAGGTGTTGAGAGGATACTAAGGTACTGAAAGACGCGGAAAGTGCCACCCATACCATTTTCCCTTGATGTGAACTATCGATGCATTTTATCCCTTTATTCAATTCTGTTAAATTAGAAATTTGCTTCGCAGATCAGATGGCCATACATAACTTTTGAGATATCACATTTACGCAATCTAACGAACTAATTTTGTTTGTTCTGTCTTGTTGACTGATAGTGATATCTTGTCTCCTTCGTCAGATACATCCGAATTCATTTGAAACGAATGCAACGGAGCAAAGTCTCTGATATTGTTGAAAGATCTATCTTGGAGGTTTTGCACAAAGATTACTCTCAACATCGAATTATGAAAACTTTGAAACTTTATGGAATCAGTATATCAACGCTTACTGTATCCAAATCAAACGAAAAGCTAGTCGTCAACAAAATTCTCACTTCAAAATTAAAATTTTTCACAAAAAAGACATCACAAGCAACATCTATCGTCAAGAAGATAATCAAGAAAATTAACGTCAAAAACTCACCGAATCAACATGCGATCGCAAAATCTGTTCGCGTTAAATCAATCTGCCATTTTCAACATCATCAAAAATGCTAGATTTAATCTTCGAAAAAAATGAAAAGTTCAAAAATTGTCATCATCAAATATTATGAAACCACGTCAGTGATCATGCCTAGTTTATTGTCAATAACAAACCATTGATACCAAAATTTCATTACAACTGATGAGTCTTGGTTTTATCTTGATGAAACTAGCGGAAAACGAAACGTTTGCTACATCTGAAAATCTTATTCAAATTACGATCAAATGATTATTCAACAAAGCAGTTCTTAACCAAAAGTTTTATGATATGAGATGATTATCAAGCAAAGGTCAAACAATTCTTTGCTTTCTTGAAACCAGTGTCAAACTAAATTTAGAATATTATATCAACAGCATTTTAGAACCATATTTATCCTAAGATGTGCCCCGTTTATTTCCAAAACGAAAACGAAAAATGATTTTTTCATCAAGATTCGGCGCCAAACCCTATTTCAAAGGAAACAATTAGCTATTTGAATAAACACAAAATTAATGATATAAAATCACAAGAATCGAACGCCTATCAATCGTGACGCTGCTCTATGGATTATGCTGCATGCGGATATTTGACACAACGACTCAATAAAACAAATACTAAATTTCTTGACGAACTGAAAGACCCCTTTTCTACAAATGGAGAAAGATAGATTAAACTTACATTGATAAAGTTTTAGCTTCCTGGTCAAAAAGACTTTTTATGATATTTAAGACTCGAGGCTTTCATATAGAATATCGTTTTGAATTGTAACTTGTCTAGTTTTTTTCTTGGAAAAAATAAAACTATTAAAAATAACATAGCCAAGCTGTACATGCTAAAAGTAATAAGTATCAATGAAAGCAGTACATTTTCACAATATAATGGAATATTGATGTTGCATGTAGTGACCATTAAGTCAATCATCACTTCTAAGACTAATCTACTCATTATGATGACGGATGTGATAATCATTAAATAGAATCAACGATGAACTTTGTTCTTGAGGAAACCTGCATGGATGGCACCTTGAGCATCTCTCAACAAGTTTGAGTGCCCAGCTGCTGTAGCTACCCCCTTGTATCATACTGAGTGACAGTAGAGCATATGTTGTATTATGTGGCAAGCACGCAAGCATCATTTCGTGCTTTTGAGTCAATTTAATAACTTCAATCGATATATGAGCTGATGAATTATCAATTTGAGGCAGTGGCGTAATCAAGGGGGAGAGAGGGCAAGTGGCCAATTACTCATTTCATTTGGAGATTTGCCCATTGAAATTTTACTTTTTCAGAATTATTTATTGACTGTTGAATTAGATGGTAATTGTAGTATTTTTTCTTCCATCTGAAGTGCACACGCACTTTTTGCTTGTTCTTTCTATGAAGAATTAAGAAAAGAAGAAAAGAATAGCTTCTGGTATTTTATCAGTAAGTTTGGGTGTAACGTGAGTTCGTTTTTATTGGGAAAACACTAATCACGTAAAGATAGAGAAGGATTGATCAACGAGGCGAGAAAAACGAACACTGATCATGAGGATACACACGAATATAAATATGTGTAGATATATATAGAGAGAGAATGACGCATAGAAGAGAAAGGAAAAGTTCAATGACGTATATGTGAAAACATAAAGAAAAAAATCAACATGTGAAATGACCTAATTCGTACGGATTTTCGTGTTTCAATTTGAAATATAATTGTTATAAACAGAGACATTAAAAATAGACTAAAACACACCTGACTCAGACGTAAGATCTGAGCTCGATGTATACTTAACTAAAAGAACCTCATTCAAAATCTATTGACTTATCAATAAAAACCCTGTCCAGTTTGCTTATTGTTTTTTTTCGATACAATAGAAGTTTGCCCATTGGTCTAAACATTCTGGTTATGCTGCTGATTACAAGATGTATACTTAAAGTAAAGGGTTTCAATTCTGGAAGACCTTTTTAGGTTCTGAATCGTGCATGAAACATTTTTTCACTTTCATAGCGTGCAGAAAGTCCTTTTCAAGTGCTGTATAGTACCATTTATTTTAATGTGCTCGACGTGACATATCAGCCGTTCTCACATAAAAAAATGTTTACAACTAATCGGATAATAGATCTTTTCTAATCCAACCTTTCTTACTGCACTGATAATGTACACGATCAGGTCCTTGTTGACGCCATAATATATTAATAGTTTCCATAGCATAAATTTTGCAACAAGA